GGAAGAGCGCCGGCGCCTCACTTCCGCCGCGCCAGCGGCCACGCATGCGCAGGGCGGGGTGCCTGGGGTGGGGGCGGTGCGCGTGCGCGGTACCGCAGGCCTCGGAACAGATTTCGGTTGTCGCGCTAACAGAGGCCTGGCGGCGGCGGCGGCGGCAGCGGCTATCCCTGGGTGGTCTGGGCCCCGGCGCGGCGCTCAACCGTCCCCACGTGGCCGTTTCCGCGGAGGCTGGTGCTCGGGGGCTCCCGGGGCTGGGCCGCACGGCGGGAGGAGCGGGTCGTGTGCTCGGAGCGCCGGGGGACCCACAGTGTCCGTCTTTTTAACGAGTTGGTTGCTACTGAAAGACTGAAGAGGTTAATTGTAGAAACCGAGTTTTGTAGCTTCTGTAGAAAAGTCAGATCTGTCAGCATTGGACCCAGAATACCGCGTGTCACCCATCACCTAGAGCTGCCCCCTCAGGTAAGACACCACCACTCGCCTGATCCCTTGGCTCGTTTGTGTGCCCGGCTGCTTCCTGTAGGTCCTGGTGTGGAGTGTTCATCCCCAAACTGAGAACTGGAGTCGAAAGCCCCAGACAGCATCTTAACCCGCCTAGAATTTCAAGCTACTAAAAATCTCTTTCCAGACGGGCTAACGTGCGTTATCCTTATAATAAAGCAGCTTCGTTCATGCAGTGCTTTACTGCTTGCAGTATCCTTTTATGTATTCGCCTTAATGATCCTAGATTATCTTGGAGAACGCACAGTATAGTTAATCCCGCACCCCACACCCCGCCTTTGGGTGCAAAATGTGCTCAGCAGTGTCATTACCTGGCCAGGTGGCCAGGGTCTTGTTGCTACAGCTAGTGGTACAGCTAGAAGTCCACACAAGTTACGTGGCTTTTTCAGCTGGTGTGTTCGTCTGGTAAATGGAATACAAGGATTGGGGGCTCAGGAAAGAGCCCAGGCTGTATTTGGTTGTCCCTAGCATGTAGGTGGTAGTTGGCTTGGAAGAGCGCGCCAAGGGGACACCGCAGTTAGAAAGAGGGTACAGTCTTCAGAGGGGAGGAGCAGCCAGGGAAGCAGGAATAAAACTAAGAGAGGGCTTCCCTGGTGGTGCAGTAGTGGAGAGTCCGCCTGCCGATGCAGGGGACGTGGGTTCGTGCCCCGGTCCGGGAAGATCCCACGTGCCGCGGAGCGGCTGGGCCCGTGAGCCATGGCTGCTGAGCCTGCGTGTCCAGAGCCTGTGCTCCGCAATGCGAGAGGCCACAACAGTGAGAGGCCCGCGTACCGCAAAAAAACTTTGAACCGCAAAAAAAAAAAAAAAAAAAAAGCTAAGAGAGCTTTATGTCACCGGGGCAAAGAAAGATGTTGGGGAGGGGGGTGGTAATTAAAAGTGTCAAATGTCATTTAAAAGTAGGAAAAGTAGGAAAAGATGTGTGTTGGATTTAGCAACAATGAGATCTTTGGTGACCTTGCCAAGAATAAACTGTTTCATTGGAGACTCTCCATTACCCTGAGTGGAAGAGTAAAGAAATGGAGAGAGAGATGGTAAGTGGAGGTAACTCAGTGAGTTTGGCTATGGAGAAGAAAGTGTGGGAGCTAGAGTTATGATGGATGTTGAGAGGTTGTAGGATAGGAGATTGCTGAGCAGCCTCCAGCTGATGGAAGGGGGCCAGTCAGTGTCTGCTGGGAAAGAAGGGACAGGTGCAAAGTGGTCCCCTAGACGGTAGGAGGGAATGCCATCCAGAGCATAGGGAAGTGTTCACTTTGGATGTAAGAAAATCGCTTTTCATCGTAAAAGGAAGGGAGGAAGGTGGGTTGTAGTTGCAGGTAACTTTGTGTTTATTGGACTGAAAGCAAAGGAATTCTCTGTTTTCTTCTGTTTTCACTGTGAATAAGGAGAAGAAAACGTCTCCCGAAAATGGGAAGGGAGGTAAGAAAACTAAGATTTGAGCAGTGTGGGAAAGATCTAAAATAGCTTTTGTGGAAAACCTAGTGAATAACTCACTAGAAAGCATGATGTAGTCCAGGGCACGTTTGAGTTTGGAGGCTGTGGATTTATTCTGGTATGACCTACATTTGGGTGGAGGTTTTTAATAGTGTAATTACTTTGGAGACAAGAGTCTATTCAGACTTTGTATTTCATACTGATGGAGCACTTTTTATACTGACACTGCACTAGGTGCTATAGTAACACCATCTTAATCCAGATCTGTGTCTCCAGATCACACTTCCCTCCTGAACTCTTAGACATTTGTTCTTCGGTATCTCTCATATACACGAGACAGCTCATGTATACATGTCATATATATATATACATATATATATAATTTTTCATATACAGGAGAGAGCTCACGTACACATGTCGCATATACATACATGTCTAAAACTGAATTTGTAGTCTTCATCGCCAAACCTGTCCCTTCGTAGTAAATTTCATAACAAAAGACTATAATCAGAAGTTAAGAAGTTTATTTTATAATGATGAAAGGGTGAATTCATGAAAAGACATAACAATCCTAAACAATCCATAAACAATCCTAAACCCCTGATAATAAAGCTTTTAAATACATGAAGCAAAAGCTAGTAGTAGTGCAAGGAGAGATAGACAAACCCACAACTGTAGTTGGAGATTTCAATACTTCTTTCTCAGATAATGATAGAACAAATACCCAGAAAATGACCAAGCGTATGGTAGAGTTGAATGACACCAGCAACTTGATTTAATGGACATTTGTAGAATACACGTTATCAAATATATAAACAACATTTACCAAGATGGATCATATTCTGGGCAAATATGTTTTCTGACCACGGCGGAATTAAGCTAGATATCAATAGCATATCTCTGGAAAATCATCCAAATGCTTGAGAACTGACTGACTCACTTTTAAATTACCCATAGGTCAAAAGAGAAATCAAAAGGGAAATTAAAATTTTGAACTAAATGAAAATGCAGCATTGCAAAATTTGTGGCTAGAACACTACTAGAAGATAGGTCTCAAATCATTCATCTTAATAAACTAGAAAAATAAGAGCAAATGAAACTCAAAGTAAGTACAAGAAGGGAAATAATAAATATCAGCAGAAATCAATGAGATAGAAGCAAAAACAATAGAGATAATCAGTGAAACCAAAAGCTGAGTCTTTGAGAAGATAAATAAAATAGAGAAATTTCTGGCCAGGTTGAACAAGGAAAAAAGGGGTTAACAATATCATGAATGAAGATGATGACATCATTGCCAAAAGGGTAATCGGAGAACATGAACAACTTTATGCCAATAAATTCAACATCTTGTACTAAAGGAACAAATTCCTTGGAAGACAATACCAAAACTCACTCCAGAAGAAATAGGTAACCTAGATAGCTCTATAACTAATAAAGCATTGAATTTGTAGTTAAAAACTTTTCCTCAAAGAAAATTCCATACCTAGATGGCTTTACTGGGAATTCTACCAAACTAAAGAAGAAATAATACCAATTCTATATAGATTCTTAAAATTGGAAGAAGGAAATATGAATGCCAGCTCATTCTATAAGGATAGCATTATTCTAATGCCAAAGTTTGACACAAGCACTACAAGAAAAGAAAACTGTGGACTAACGTTCCTCATGACAAAGAAATAAAAATTCTTTTAAAACATTTTTTAGCAAACTGAATCCAGTACTATATAAAAAGGATAATATAACATAACCAAGTGAGGTTCATCTTAGGATTGCAAAGTTGACTTTGTATTAAAAAATGGATCAATGTAATTTACAGTATTACAGTGAAAAAGAAAACCAAATCAGTAATCTCAATAGACATAGAAAAAGCATTTGACAGGGACGTCCCTGGTGGTCCAGTGGTTGACTCCACACTACCACTCCGGGGAGCACGGGTTTGATCCCTGATGGGGGAACTAAGATCCCACATGCTGACTGGCACAGACGAAAAAAAAAATTAAAGAAAAGAAAAAGCATTTGACAAAATCCAGCATCGATTTCCTGATTAAAAAAAAGTAAAAATAAAAAACTTTTGGCAAAAACTAGGAATAAAATGAAAACTTCCTCAACATAATAAGGGCATCTATGAAAAGCCTGTCACTGACCCATGGAGTGATGAAAGACTGGACGTTTTTTTTCCCTCCAAGATTGGGAATAAGTCTCTGGTCTCACCATTTCTATTCAGCATCGTACTAGAAATTCCAGCCAATGTAATGAGGCAAGAAAAAGAAATTAGGGGCTTCCCTGGTGGCGCAGTGGTTGAGAATCTGCCAGCTAATGCAGGGGACTTGGGTTCAAGCCCTGGTCTGGGAGGATCCCACATGCTGTGGAGCAACTAGGCCCGTGAACCACAGCTACTGAGCCTGCATGTCTGGAGCCTGTGCCCCGCAACGAGAGGCTGCGAGAGTGAGAGGCCTGCGCACCGCCATGAAGAGTGACCCCTGCTCGCCGCAACTGGAGAAAGCCCTCGCACAGAAACGAAGACCCAACACAGCCCTAAATAAATAAATAAATAAATAAACTTATTTTTTTTAAAAAAAGATGAGCTAGTTAATTTCCATTCCACTACCTTCACTCACTGAGTCCTCTACCTTTAAAAAAAAAGAAAAGAAAAGAAAAAGAAATGAAAAGCTTCCATATTGAAAAGGAATAAGGAATATTGTTTATTTGAAGATCACACGATCTTCAGGGAGCTAAGATCCCACATGACTCGCAGCCAAAACACCAAAACATAAAACAGAAGCAATATTGGAACAAATTTAATAAAGACTTTAAAAATGGTCCACATCAAAAAACATCTTAGGAAAAAAAAATGTGTCCAGGCATTGCAGATGCCCCTTGAGGGGCAAAATTGCCCTCAGTTGAGAATCATTGTTCTAGGTTACAAAATCCATTGTTTTAGGTTAAAAAATCCATGCAACCTACAGAAAGCGCTCCTAGAACTAGTGACTTTAGCACGGCTGCAGGTACGAGGTTAATACACCACATAAATAAAACGTTATTGCATATTTCCAAGTAACTAGCAACAAATACTGGAAGTTGAAATTAGAAAAAAACCCACTATTTACAGGAGCATCAAAAGATACCAAATCTTTGGGATAAATCTGAAATAGATGTGCAAGACTTATAACTGAAAACTAAAAAGTTTTGCTCAGAGACACTAAAGACCTTAATAAGTGGAAAGGTACACAGTATTCATTAATTTAGAAAATTCAGGATCGTTAGGACATCAAATTAATCTATAGATTCAATGCCATTCCAATTAAAATCCCAGCAGACTTTTTTTTAATTGACACACTGATTTTAAAATTCATTTGGAACTGCGAAAGAGCTAGAATAGCCAAAGCAAGTTTGAACAAGGACAGATTTTTGTGACTTATACTATCTAATTTCAGTGCTCCAAATAGTGTGGTGTTGGTATAAAGATATATAAGTAGATCAGTGGAACAGAATAAAAAGTCCAGAAATTGGCCCATGAGTATAAATATGTT